GGATGGTGCTGTAACTTCGGATGACTTTTTACAAGTTCGACTTCACAGAGCATGAGCGTGGATTATCAGAAAACCGTTACGTTTTAATTAATGATAAATAAACATGTGGGTATTAAAAGAATTTGCCTTGTGGAGACGACTTTACACGGTCCATGACCGATCAAGCTGTGGATTGGCGTCAGATAAAGCAGCGCGGCGTTGAAGTTAAGAAAACGTTCGATTCTGTTCCATTTTCAACAGGGTGCTGTAACTTCGGATGAAATATAGTTTGATCACTTTTTAAAATACTAGTTAGGTTATACGTAAACAAATAGAACAATTACGTGTCAAATAACTTCAACCTTCCACTGATAGTCAATTTTTGACAGTGCGTATCTCGCCAGAGATTTCAAGCGTGCTGTAACGAAGCATGGTCGCACGACCGCCAATTCCTTCCAGGCCGTGTCGACGCTGATGATCTCCTAATGGTGTGCCTTGGGTGGTAAATAGCTGGTCTTCTGAAAAACACTGTAAACTACAAATGAACAATTCTTCCACATGTATTTTCCGAAGCCGCCCAGCCATGCCCTCCCACACCGGAAATTGAAGCGGTAACCTTTGCACTCTGCAAACACCGCATGTGAACCCTAAAATGCGCGGTAACATTCACTGTGGTTCTAAAGCCGTGATTGATTCTATCCATTCTGGTCAAATAAAATAGGGACTTGGCAGCTATTAAAAGACACGGTGTATTGTCTGATTGAGAGGTTCACTATAAATGCGTCACACACACACACTAAATAGTACTTAGCGTAAGTTGCTGTCTTGATGGACGAGCCGATAACTTCGCAGCCAGGAGGTAAATGTTTGTGAGACATAAGGTAAGGTAACATCAATTTATTTTTATCCGTCATTTTTTTGTTACAAATACTGAAGAAATGCTACTTTATACAGATCATACGTAAACGATAACATATATCGATATAAAATTACCCTTGTAATTTTAATAAATGTCACAAACCCCTTCAAGCAACTGGTTTTGCCGAGATCTTCCGGGCATTTTCATGTTGTAAATACGGGGGACGTCGATTTTGTGCTTCTGGAATTAAAGACATATTTTTGAACAAATGTTGCATTTTCCTAGTTTAAGGGTGACTCTTTGATAATTAATTCCAAAACAAGAAAATATTGGCTTGCTAGAACTGACAAAATCAACGCACTTTTCTGAAGTGTGATTTGGTACGGTCCGCACAAGTTTCGCGCCATTTCTATCATTTCGGCGCCGTTCGTCTTTCAATTTCTGTCACAGAGGACACAGAGCGGTCACAGAGCAAACAAGAAACACGACCAAACGACGTGAGTATTAAATAACCGCATCTTTATTGTGAAGCTAAGGAGACGTTAGCCTAAGAAAGAACTAAAATCTTACATTCCTAAGTCAACTTATTTTAACACGGAGCTTGATTTTAATAGTGCGAAAAACTGTAGTGGCTGCACAAATGTTACAAGTAAACTATATATACATTAAAAAGGTTTGGGACTGGATTTGTCCACTCTTGCATGAAAGATGAAGCATAAATATTCCTTTGCATAAAAGACAATCTCATAAGCACAAACAACGATGTTTGCTAAGTTGAAGAAGGAGCCACATTTACATAATCTATTACTAGTAAGTTCCTATATTCACTGTGACCTATTGGTGTGTACTTGCATTTTTTCACAGATCCATCCACATCTGCAATAACATACCCAGTACCCACAAAACATCTGAAGTCCGGTAGCACAATGGTGGGTCTCAATACTTACGTTATACTAAAAGTAGAATAAATTTGAAACTGTTCTTTCAAAACTTAACTAACTATGGAACGTTTTGAGTACAACAACTTATCTAAACAGCAAAATGCATTCCCATTAACAGATCCTCACGCTGCAGACTGTGCATCACAGTGACATAGCTGCACTTGTTGTAGCACAGGAAGACCCACCGGAGATGAAGGTCCAAGTGTACCAACGCCCCGGAGCCCCAATCGCCGGGTTGATGATGTACGCTAGGTTGGACGGCACGTGGTACCCATGCGGTTGGATTCGCGAGAAGAACAAGGACTCTGTCCTTAATTTGTCATCGGAAGGGGGCTTAGAAAGCCTGAGCTGTGTCCTACAGGACCGGTACACTAAGAAAGGCTACCATGTCTTAAAAGTTAGCATACTTTAGAGCCTTATCAAAATGTTTTGACGGCACTACAATTCACTACATTACAATATTTAAACAGCACTAAAGTTTACTACGTTATAATAGTTAAACATTGGTTGAAATTTCTACCACAAGTAATAAAATTGTAAATGTAATAGATGTTCAAAAGCTACACACTGCAATGTAGGTTGTGTGCTGTATGTACCAGAACATGCCGTTAATAAAACATCTCTTGTCATTTGGTGTGCTATTTTCTAACTAAGTAAACAAGTAAAGTAGTATAAGAATGCTTCTGATCAACACCTAGCCATGTTCCGTATTTGACGAGTATTCCCGGTGGAGACACGGTCAAAGCCCCACCAAGCTGTGGATTTCAGCCGGATAAAGTAGCGTGGCATTGAAATTACTAAAAAAATTCGATTCTCATCTATTTCAAACATCTATGTACAGATAGCAAACCCACATTGTACCTACAGTATACAGATTTAGCTTAATTCCATTATTTACACGCAACAACGCATACCCCAACACTGTTAACCATACGAACTCTTACCTGAGCACAAGGTATATGAACTACGTTACTGGCTGTATAACGTTACTTACTTGTTGCGTTGTTTCGGTGCGAACGGTCATTGAATAACTTTAAAAGTCATATTCGTAACAGGAATCCCTTTTTTTGTATTCGTCGACGTTTTGAACCGTCTCCCTGGCATTTCCCGTTCTGCTCTCTCTCATCCTCCTCATTTTGCGGATCCATTTCATTCTCTTCCTCCTCCTTTTCCATTTCCTTGTCTTTCTCTTCATTCTCCTTTTCCATTTGCCTTTTTCTCTTCTTGTCTTCTCTCTCTTTTGCCTTTGCTTCTCGTTGTAGTCGTGTTAGCTCTGCCCTCTTCCTTCTCTCTTCGGCTTTGGC